TTCCAGCATCTACCAGCTGTCCTGCAGCTCAGGCTACGGCCCTCACACGAATTATGTGGAGCAACAGAGACTTATTGAACATCACTATGGAAATCCCTGGCAGGCAGCTGGCATCAGCTGGCAGTTCTCCCATGTTTCATGTGGATTTTGGTGGTTTGGAAGGTCACCCCAGAACTTGTCAGCTGCAGGCTGAGCCCGAGATCGGCCAAACTTCCTGAGCGCCCAAACCACCCAATCTCTGGGCTAAACTCTGGGCCAATGGTTCGGACCCATAGCAGGGATGGTGCCGCCAATAGTTCACGAAAGTCAAGCATATCAGCATGTCAGTATCTCAGCATGTCTTCAAATCTCTTGAAATACTGAACTTCATCCAAGCTGATCACTTGGATCGGCTGTTCGCAGGGTACCTTTCAGCGCCGTTTGCAGCGACCTTTTGCTTATCAGGCGTTAGGCCACACCTTTTGCAGTGTTACTGGTCAGCCCATGTATTTGGCATGGGAACTGGACACAAAAGTTGACCAGTCACGACCTTACTGCGTTGCTGTAGAGCTTGGGCGTTCCTCCACGGACTTAAACAAAGAATCCGTGGATGGTGGGGGAGTTCAACGAGCCCGCAGTTGAAAGTCCATTCATTGTTGGCCTGTACCATGTCTTATGCAAGGGTATAACAATGGCACATGTGCATTGTATATTTAAGATAAGGAACGGCTATTTTGATATTTGTGTAGTCCATAAACCCGCAAAGATGATCATTTCGAAGCTGCCATGGCTTCAACGGTTGGGGGTCCAACCCCTTGATGGAATCTGGCAGGTACTCCTAGTTGTGGAAGTCAATGCGTTTCAATGAAATGTGCGTCCTAGGTGGGGGAGAAATTTCTGGAAGTCGGTGCGATGTTGCGTCCAGTTGGTGTTTAGCATGTTTGTGTTTTCTCCAATTGATGGTTTATCGTGAGTTTTTCATGGATACCATGCAGATGGTTGTGGCTATTCCCTTGTGTTTTGGGAGTTTTGTACATCACTTGTGGCTCGCTCTGTTGCGCAAGATTCATACAAACACCGACGAATACTGGGTCGATGTTATAACAAGTGCCTATGGGGAATGGCCCGCATGGGCAGCGCCTATCACTTTAACTTACTGATGTATTTTTTGGCACTTCGCATAGGCACACGACGCTTACCTGTCATATGTTTTTGGGTTTACCCACTATACTCCCAAAGATGAAAGTCGTGGCAATTGTATACTTGTTTGCCAAGCTTGCGTCCCTTTGTCTCCCCTCTGTCTCCCTTACTCGCCCTTTGTCTCCTCTTCTCTCTCCTTGCTCTTGCCTGCAGCTGAAGCAAGAGATTTGTGAAAGGGCTGGAAGCTTTTGCCTGCCTCAGAATTAGCCCACTTTGACCGTCGGTGTGCCAATAGGATTTCCACCTGGCGGAAGATTAGTGATGTCTGGCGTAAGCGGTGTGCCATACGGCTGGCGCAAGTTCTAGTAAATGGCGTAGGTATCAATGTGCATGTTTGGATAAGCGTCCACATGGTGTTTAACATCCGTGGATATATATTTTTAAGATTGTGGGACATAACTGTGCACACGCGTCCTGATGGGGATTTAGAAAATTTAGCATATATTTTTAAGATTATGGGACCTAACTGTGCACACGCGTCCTGATGGGGATTTGGAAAATTTGCCAATAGAAAAGTGCACTGCCAGGGATCTAAAAGTAACACTTCTACATAGTGCGTCCCATGCAGTTTTAGACCTGGTTGCATTGACTTGTTTGACTTCCTGAATGCGCGGCGTCCCATGCAGTTTTTACCTTGGTTCCACATATGCACTGACTTTCACGTCCGGGTGTACTGCGGAGGTGCTCCGAGACGATCGCTTTTCATTTCCGAGGCTGGTACCAGGAGATGCGGAGACCATCACTTCCGCCTCATTGGAGTTTTCGAATGATTTCACGACATCAGATCTCTACGGATATCCCCCAATTAGATGATTTCTATCCTATCCATAAAACCATCTATTTGGGGACACTATAGGGATATCTTGAAACTGCATATCACATCTTATCACCAAGCAGCATCCATTGGGACTCAGATCTACACAGGATCTTTTGGGCGCCCGAGCTTTTTGCCAAAAACTATGGCCTCAAGGCCGGGAGCTGCTCTCGTCCTTTGTAACCGGCAACTCTAGAGGTATGGTCGTGTAAATAAGAAGGGGTTGTGGAATAGCCCAAGATATTAAATATTACCTTTGGTCGGCGTTGATATTGTTGCAGGATGGGCTACAGATTTCAAACAGTCCATTTCTAGTGGAGAAGGATGATTGGTCAGGATAGATGGGCCGGTTTTTGTCGGACTCCTAAATGGGATATAAAGCATACTAAAACCATGTACGAGACGGGAGCTACCAGATGCTCTCAGCCACAGAATTACGACATTGACATTGCCAAATTTGGCATTGGTGAGGCGGGAAGCTAACCAGAGTATTTTAGAGGACCACTCACGCAGAGTTAATTTCTTAATCTCAGCCACTCATGGGGACATGTCAGAGATGTCGAACTTATGTACGGCAACAGGACTCTGCAATGCAAAGAGATGCCACAGCAAAAATATTTCACAATCGCGCCAGATCTATGTCCGCTTCTGCAGCAGCTAGCTTTCACTTGCTTTCCACTCACTCCATTACATGTCCACTGTCCATTCACACCAGAATCTGCTCTCCACTCCCGCCATTCTTATCTCTAATATTTCATTGCTCACCACTCTACATCAGTCATACTGAACTCAACGTTGCCCCAACTTCATCTGATCTTTTTCAGCAGACAAAGCTTGACTCATTTTTCATTGCCACAGATGTCTGCCGAAACTCAGCAAGTTCAAGCTCGGCTTCGCTACAGGGGTCACAGATACAACTGTGACTTCCGCCCCGGCGACAACAGCGTCGCCTTGCTTGCTCGCCTGAACGCAATCAGAGATTTTCTTCGCGTCCAACCTGAAATCCAGAGTGAGGTCTTCTCCGTACCCGACTTTGAGTTTCTCTGGCATGCAGCTTTAATTTCCGTCAAAGATTATCCCACCTCAAATGGTGTGATTAATATAGAGAGTCAAAGGATCAAGGCACCTGCTTTTCCTGCCGGGAACTTTCGATGGCACCGCTCCAACATTCCACGCTACCAGTACTTCGCTGAAGTGTTCCTATTCCTCCGACGTCGTTACTCTCTCATCACAGTCCCTAACGTAGCAGAAGCACGACAGATCCTCTCCCAACCATGTGACCTTCACTGGAAAATGTGTGAATATGCCGCTCATCCTTGGTTCTGCTTGGTTTTGGGGCCACGCCTAGATTTCTTCGCGCAGACTGTCGAACTGTTGCAGCAAACATCTTGTTTCCAACAACAAGCCTGGTCGACGGATGCCTTCCATGATCTATGGCAAACGATTCAAGAGATATCTCTGGGCTAAACTCTGGGCCAATGGTTCGGACCCATAGCAGGGATGGTGCCGCCAATAGTTCACGAAAGTCAAGCATATCAGCATGTCAGCATGTCTTCAAATCTCTTGAAATACTGAACTTCATCCAAGCTGATCACTTGGATCGGCTGTTCGCAGGGTACCTTTCAGCGCCGTCTGCAGCGACCTTTTGCTTATCAGGCGTTAGGTCACACCTTTTGCCGTGTTACTGGTCAGCCCATGTATTTGGCATGGGAACTGGACACAAAAGTTGACCAGTCACTGCATTGCTGTAGAGCTTGGGCGTTCCTCCACGGACGAATCCGTGGATGGTGGGGGAGTTCAACGAGCCCACAGTTGAAAGTCCATTCATTGTTGGCCTGTACCATGTCTTATGCAAGGGTATAACAATGGCACATGTGCACTGTATATTTAAGATAAGGAACGGCTATTTTGATATTTGTGTAGTCCATAAACCCGCAAAGATGATCATTTCGAAGCTGCCATGGCTTCAACGGTTGGGGGTCCAACCCCTTGATGGAATCTGGCAGGTACTGCGGAGGTGCTCCGAGACGATCGCTTTTCATTTCCGAGGCTGGTACCAGGAGATGCGGAGACCATCACTTCCGCCTCATTGGAGTTTTCGAATGATTTCACGACATCAGATCTCTACGGATATCCCCCAATTAGATGATTTCTATCCTATCCATAAAACCATCTATTTGGGGACACTATAGGGATATCTTGAAACTGCATATCACATCTTATCACCAAGCAGCATCCATTGGGACTCAGATCTACACAGGATCTTTTGGGCGCCCGAGCTTTTTGCCAAAAACTATGGCCTCAAGGCCGGGAGCTGCTCTCGTCCTTTGTAACCGGCAACTCTAGAGGTATGGTCGTGTAAATAAGAAGGGGTTGTGGAATAGCCCAAGATATTAAATATTACTTGGTCGGCGTTGATATTGTTGCAGGATGGGCTACAGATTTCAAACAGTCCATTTCTAGTGGAGAAGGATGATTGGTCAGGATAGATGGGCCGGTTTTTTGTCGGGCTCCTAAATGGGATATAAAGCATACTAAAACCATGTACGAGACGGGAGCTACCAGATGCTCTCAGCCACAGAATTACGACATTGACATTGCCAAATTTGGCATTGGTGAGGCGGGAAGCTAACCAGAGTATTTTAGAGGACCACTCACGCAGAGTTAATTTCTTAATCTCAGCCACTCATGGGGACATGTCAGAGATGTCGAACTTATGTACGGCAACAGGACTCTGCAATGCAAAGAGATGCCACAGCAAAAATATTTCACAATCGCGTCAGATCTATGTCCGCTTCTGCAGCAGCTAGCTTTCACTTGCTTTCCACTCACTCCATTACATGTCCACTGTCCATTCACACCAGAATCTGCTCTCCACTCCCGCCATTCTTATCTCTAATATTTCATTGCTCACCACTCTACATCAGTCATACTGAACTCAAGGTTGCCCCAACTTCATCTGATCTTTTTCAGCAGACAAAGCTTGACTCATTTTTCATTGCCACAGATGTCTGCCGAAACTCAGCGAATTCAAGCTCGGTTTCGCTACAGGGGTCACAGATACAACTGTGACTTCCGCCCCGGCGACAACAGCGTCGCCTTGCTTGCTCGCCTGAACGCAATCAGAGATTTTCTTCGCGTCCAACCTGAAATCCAGAATGAGGTCTTCTCCGTACCCGACTTTGAGTTTGTCTGGCATGCAGCTTCAATTTCCGTCAGAGATTATCCCACCTCAAATGGTGTGATTAATATAGAGAGTCAAAGGATCAAGGCACCTGCTTTTCCTGCCGGGAACTTTCGATGGCACCGCTCCAACATTCCACGCTACCAGTACTTCGCTGAAGTGTTTCTATTCCTCCGACGTCGTTACTCTCTCATCACAGTCCCTAACGTAGCAGAAGCACGACAAATCCTCTCCCAACCATGTGACCTTCACTGGAAAATGTGTGAATATGCCGCTCGTCCTTGGTTTTGCTTGGTTTTGGGGCCACGCCTAGATTTCTTCGCGCAGACTGTCGAACTGTTGCAGCAAACATCTTGTTTCCAACAACAAGCCTGGTCGACGGATGCCTTCCATGATCTATGGCAAACGATTCAAGAGATCTCAGGTACCCATGCAAACCAGATCACACTACTGCGCTGCTATCAAGACCAACGGTGGCGACGAACAATTCCAGCACATCTACTCATCGTCACAGCAGAACTACTGCATTACTTGGCTACTCGACCTGTGATGCCCCTAGACAAATTTTTACATTGTTTCGATGTTTGTGTGCAATACCCTGCAGAGCAATGGGATTTCTGGTGCCGATCTTCAGCAGAACGTCTTGCAGTCCTAGCAACAGCAGCTGCTACCACCGCTTCAGAACCGACATTCTATTCCACAGATGTACAACCAGCCCCAAATTCCACTGCTCGCTCTCGGCGCCTGGCAGAATCTGCTCAAAAGTGGCCTTCAGCTATTCCAGCTTCCATACTCCTGGCGCATGCAAAGGAATACCATGAGCAGTTTCATCAGTGTTTACAACCACCCCGCCTCTGCGGCATCTGCGCGTGCCCAATCTGGGACATGACCTTCGAACTGCTGGACTTCCGCGCCCCACCATGCGACCTTGCTCAGCTGCATCCCCTACTTTCTGGAACTCTTTTCCTCAAAGAATTTGCCAACTATGCCACTCTCGATGTACCACCAGCTTTCCGTGGCCTAACACTCCAACGACTACAAGAATTCTTCGTACCTGCTCCTATAGAGGTCAATCCTGATGCATCTGCTTCTTACCTACCAAATTTACATATGTTCCTTTTTCTGCCAATAACAGTTCCCAACAAAATCGGTCGGTCATCAGATTCCTTTCCTGTCAAATCTGCATATATTTCCTTTTTTTTGCCAGTCAGAGTTCCCGGCGCGAGTTTTCGGTTATTACTTTTGCCTCAGGACGTTTGGCTCCTGCACCTTGCACCAGATGCTCAAGAAACATGGAAAATCGCAACATTCGATCCAACTGCCTCATTGCAGTGCCTGGCATGTGTCCCGTGTGCTCGGTCTTTCCGCAAAGCGTCGCCCACCTTGCCTCCATCTGCATTGGCCAACAACAATCTCTGTCTACCAGCACCAGAGGAACTCCAGTCATTGTCCTTTGGGGAACAACTTTTCATTGCACGAGGGTTTGCTGTCCGTCGGCTCCGCACATTGACTCCTTCTGGTGACCCAGAAGCACGCCAACAAGGCATGCTTGGCACTACCAGTGCCATCGCATTCCCGCAGAATGCCGCTACAATTTTTTCACAACTTCCAGTCTCTGCAGCGCAGGTCTCTGACTACCTGAGTGTCTTCTTCACAGATGCATTGCAAAGCAACTTGCATTTCTCCAAGGAGTTCGTCGTGAGACGCAGCGCAGTCCATCGCGCTCTGCTCTGGCTCACGCAACACAACCCTTACTATGCTGACATCACCATTGACATGTCATCCTTGCAAGACCTTCCTGCTAACGGTGTGCCACCAGCCTGGGCTGCTCTTGCTCAAGTCAGCCAAGAATCTTTGACCAGGGAATTTGGTCCAGTTGACGCATCTACTGCTGGTGGAACAGATTCCGCAATTCATGCTGCTGTTCTTGACCCTGGCGTCGACCACACAGACCCTTTGCAACTTTGGAATACTGCTCTGCTAGCTTGCGAGCGCTACGAGCGTCATGCCACCTCCAATGCTGTTTCTGCCACTGCTGATGTTCACGTAGTACAATACGCTCTTCGATCCCTGGCCTCCAGCAGCAACCATCGCTCTTTCGAACAGGATCTCATCCATCAGACCCGGCCCGCCCAAAGCAAAGAAAAGCTCTATGTCGTTGTCCCCCATGCCGACGAACCGCTTAACAGTTACGACCCTTTCTTCTGGACGGCATGTTTCCCACTGCAATTCCCATACGGAGATGGTATTGATGGCCAACCACGTCGAACATATCTCTCTGATCATGACTGGGGAAAACTTTTGCTCCTACGACGTGATCGGCCCCTTCAGCTTCATCCGAGAAAAGATTTGGATTTCATTTCTGTTCTCTTTTCTGTGCTGCATAGACGCCGTCTCCTTCGCGCAGTTCGCATACGAGTCCAAGCCCCACATTTCCGAGAGCAACTCCCTTCCTTTGTCAACCTTCAAGCTACTGACTGGACGCAAGTAGCAAGCACTGTCGGAGAGTACCTTCTCTGCAGCAATGGTTTTCACTAGCATCCATTTTTCCCTCCATATTCACTACCTTTACTCCCTTTACAATCTTTACATACATACATGATCAATATAATTCCTCATTCCTTCCTTTCACTTGCTATCTGCCTTCTTCGACTTTCTACCATCTACAACTTGTCATGCTACCGAACAACTCCTTTGTCTGCTCAGGCATGGCTCCATCCCTGATGCATTGCGCTCTCATGACATTCCAAATGCCATGAAAGCCATCCTTCGCTGCTTGCAAGCAGTGCAAGGACAAATTCATTGCACGGACGCAGCTCGACGCATGATGCGTGGTGAACTGACTTCTCTCATCACTTATTTTGGTTGTCCTTCGCTATTTGTTACGTTCAATCCTGCTGACGTCTTGCATCCCTTTACCTGGCGACGTGGTTTGACAACACCTCCCACACCATTACCACAGGTGCAACTTGATCAGCATCTTTTGTGTGCCCTCCGTGACGCCAATCTGTGGCGAATGGTCGCGCTTGATCCGACGGCAGCAGTCGAAGCTTTCCATCTACATGTCAACACTTTCCTCTCCACGTTATTGAAAGTGGTTCCATCCGCCCAGCAGCTTCCAACAGATGGCATTGCTTCCATTGACGGGCAAGGCATCTTCGGTCCACTTAGCGCAGCTTTTGGTGTCATCGAACCACAGCAAAGAGGCAGCCTACATATTCATTTCCTCTTGTTCTGTTACGGCTTCCAGGACCCCATGTCTTAGTGCAAAACTTTGCTGCGCAACTCCCTCTTCTAGAAGAGCGACTTTGGGCATGGATCAACTCCATCGTCGTCACATCCTTCGAAGCCATCCCCCCTATGTTTGACTTGCCACGCTCAACGTTGGAAAACTTACGGCCCTTGCCATATTCCGATGCACAGATGAAGCTCATGCATCCACACTACCGGCCACACCTCGTCGCTGCCAGCGATCATTGGTTTGCGGCTGACCCCAACAATTTCCTGTATGCCCATGATTTCATCGACTGCCCATTCGCTCTCGACATGCCTGTGCAAAAGCCTTTTGTTCCTTGGTGCTTGGACTACCTTGCAACCACAATCGCCCCACTGCACACAGACACTGCATCCATGCTCCTCTACGATCTACGTGCTTCTGTGCTTTACAGCGGTCTTCTTCACTGCTGCCAACCAAAGACGTGTTACAAGGGCAAAATTGGAAAGAGAGGCTATTGTAGGCTATCTTTCTGGCATTGGCTACCTCTTAGCTTTCATGTCTGGGAACGTTGTCACGGTATTGAGCTTTGCCCCACGCCTCTGCTTGGAACCAAGCCACCTCACATCGACGCATTTCAAACAGAACGGCACCATCAGTTCTTCGGTCGCATGAACCCTATCATACTGGCTACTTGCAAATGCAACCATGACATCTCCACCCTTCTACGTTTTCCAGCCGACTACCTCCAATCACCCGATCCTGCTGCATTGATTCGCCGACGGATGGCTCAGAACATGTCCACCTTGGTGTTTTATGTCAGTTGCTACACTACAAAGACACAACCCCACCTGGCTTCCTTGTGGACCTTACTTCATACCGCAACACACAAACTGCAGCAAGACCTCGGCGCAGCTCATGCAGGCATGGACCACAAAGCTCGAGCACGCTCAACCCTGTCCAAATTGCTGATGTCCTGCCAACGGCGTATACACAAGTCAGTCCAAGAAATGATTTCTTACCTGTTGGGCTACCCAGAGGCTTATTCTACACATTCCTTCCACAAACTCTACTTCTACCATCTGGCTGCTCGACTCGAGAGCTCCGAACCGTTTGATGGCTCACACCTCGCTTCCGTCGAAGCCGCAACGCCATCTTCAGTTCTCATCTTCCCTGAAGAAAGCATTCAAGCTTGCTCTGACACCAACAACCACTTCAGACAGCCTCAGTTCTATACTCCCTCCAGTGATGATTATCCTTTTCGCGGCGACGATCTACAAGGTTGGCCCCTCTACTTCTACGCAGCTGGTGTCACACGCATTCCGACATCCAAAACAACATTCAAAACTCCCGGAAACATTCCCTTCCTACCGCAGCATCCACGCGCAACTTCGCTTCGACAGCAAGTCTTGACAGCAACTGCCTGGAAAATACCACATTTGATGGGACCGCGAATTCCACCGGTTACAGAAGATGCCAACAAACGCGGTCTCTTACTTTTGCTTCTGTTCAAGCCTTGGGTTGATCTCCACCAATTGCTTCCCAGCTCTGTCGGCTGCGCCAGCTGGTCCGAAGCCTTTGACACTTGGTTTGCTGGTCTCCTTGCTTCACTACCATCACCTTCTACACGTGCTTCCCCCTTGAGTGCTGAATATTGGGCACAACGTACACTGCATATCATCAACCACATCGACAACATGGGGCTCTCTGACCCCACAACTGCTGATCGCGAACTCCGTTGCAATCCTGATGAATTGCACGGCGTCCCCGACACCACAACCGTGGAACATGGTCCACCTCCTGGGCAACTTGATTCCGACTCTGACGTCAGCTGCGATCAAACCTACGACATAGACTACGGCGACCTGGATCCACACGATTTTCCCGATGAGGCGCCTTAAAGGAATCACTTTGCTTCCTGTCCACTATGGGAACAATTTCCCTTCCATACTTCTTGGAAAGACATCCCAAATAGCGTTCCGGAGCCTATTCCTTTTCAAGCTTCTACCTTCCGCTCCTTTTCTCTAACAAGGAATTATATAATATAAATCCCCCTCATGCAATATCTATAAGTTTGAGGAGGTCAACGTCTCTAGGTTGATCACTATAAAATTGCTGACAACAACCCTTTGACTTAATTCAACGGGGGATTCATATAACATATCCACGACTGTGGCACCTATCCCATCGCAACTTTTACGCTAGGCCTCAGCTTCAGCTTCAATTCGAACTTCACCATCATTTGCAGCAACGTGGGACATTCTACTGCCACTGTCCCGTTCCGAATTATGGCCTCTTCCACCAGCCTCCGCAAGCTTCGTCATTCTCTTCCGCATACTCGATGACGCAATTGTGGGCACGCAATCTTACTCACCATGTGATCCTGCCGACGTTTATCATGGCTGGCCTTTTCCATCTCATCTTTCACTGCGTCAACTGCAACGCGATGAGAAAACGTGGGACCCAGCATTGCCTACTCCACCAACCTCGCAATCGCATCCTGCGGGCAGCAATTTCCCTCAGCCTCCTTTCCCAAAAACAGAAACAACTGTTTTCGATCGCATCACCGCATGGATCCAAGACGGCCGATGCTCCAACACCGTTGGCGCCATCAACTTGAAACAAGCCGCCTACTTGCTCTTGGTTGGAGCCTGGCTGCAAGCCACACTGAATCGTGCTTGGGGGTTTACTACTGCCCTTCCACCATTTCAGGCATCGTTGCTTCTCGGCGGGCCAGGAACTGGCAAAACTTTCATCACCAACTGCGCCGCCGACCTCTTGCACTTCTTTCTGCCTTCTTCCACCCTGCAGGCTGCTTTCACTCATCGGGCCGCACGTCTAGTCGCAGGACAAACTCTGCACGCCGCTTTGGCCTTACCTTTTGATTTCAGCACTGCTTCGGCATCAGCAATTTCTTCCCTTGGTTCCCAGAAAGATGCATTGATTCGCCTCTGGCACAAAGTCACAACATTTTTCATCGACGAGGTGTCCATGATCTCCAACGAAATCCTAGCATTCATCGATCTGCGCTGTCGCCAAATATTCAATTTACATACTACTCCATGGGGAGGTCTTGCTCTGCGATTAGATGGTGACTTTCACCAACTTCCTCCAATCGGTGCTTCCTGCCTGATCAACCCACCACGTGCCACTCAACCAGACGCATCAACACCAACCTCAGCCTCTTCGCCCTCCTTGATGCACGCTGCCGCAGGCGCAGCCCTTTGGCGATCTATTTCCGCAGTCCTGATACTCGAGGAAAGCCATCGCTGCAGAGGTCCACTGCAACAACTTCTACAGGATTTACTTTCCGATCAAGGCATCTCCCACGAGTCCTGCCAACATTTACACCATCGACTCCTTCAAACTGCAGATGCTCGCATGTTCCAACCCAAATTCCACCCCAGCACCTGCACAGTCGGTGTCATGCGGCATACAATCCGTGTTTGCAAGACCATGCAAAGAGCCCAGCAAGCCGCTCAATCCGCCGGGCACCGGCTTGTCTTAGCTGTCGCTGCAGATCGCAGCTCTTTCGGGAACCGCAACGTGACACTGGATCCGACACTGGCACAGGAGGCAGCCGCAGTACACACTCTATCTGCAACTGCAAATCTACCTGGTTTTCTTGCATTATATCCTGGTGTTCAACTTTGCCTTGAGACCAAACTCTGTCCAGAACTCGGCGTCGTTCGTGGCTGCACTGTCATCGTCGACGACATCGTATTGGCAGACACTGAGCCGTCGCTTGCCACTTTTCAGCTTGAAACATCGTTTCCTTATTCGCCTTTCTCCATGTCTCCTCATCGCAACTAAGGTCGTTTCCTCGCGACCCGACATTGCCTCCACATCCTTTATTGTATTTGCCACAAGCATTGCTCCTGCGCGTTCCTAATGCTACTTGGGTGAAACATGCTGCACTCGGAGCCGGACGTTTCTTGTTGACGCCGACAACCCAACCATGGCGATTCTACCCTCGGGATGCCCACGTGGATCACGCACTTCTGGACGCAGACAATAAAGCCTTCCTACAACTGCATCGATGCCAAATACCCGCCACCAACCTCTTTGCACTCACCCATTACACACTCCAAGGACAAACCCTACCTGCTATCATTCTGGATCTCGCAAGACCTCCACAAATGAAATTAGTGCCTCGTCGTTTTCTATCCGCAAACTGTTTCTCACTATTCCCACTGTGCTGCCTTAATTTCTAGCTCTCTTTGGCATCAATCTAACACCCCTTAAACGCCAAGGATGACTACTGGATCGCTTGCTTCGTTTTGCTCAGCCGGGTCCAAAACATAGACGACGTCCTTCTCCTGCGTCTCCCTGACTTTACTGCTCTGAACAAGCCCAGGCCAGAACATTTACGTTCTGCTTACAACATGTTCCGCACAAAGGAACATACGACTCTTCAGCAGCTCGACAATATCCTGCGAGGATACAATCTGCAGTATCTACGTGATACGGTCACTCTCCCGCTGCTAGCTTCCCATCAACCTGCTCGACCAGCACCAAAGCTTGTGCGTCGAGCCCGACGTTGA